GACTCAGATGCTACCTTCTGTGAGAAGCCCTCCTTGCTGTATAGAGCCACAAAGCCACTACGTCACTGTGACCTGAAGCATAAAGTCAATAATCACAGAGCAGAGACAATTCTAGCTCAATTTACTTTAAAGATCAAAGTTACCCAAGTGTTTTGCTGATTCAAGACCTTAAACTCCACGAAAGAAAACAAATCAAGCTTTCAGGTGTTTGGAGAAGGTGATGACGAACCGAGTTTACAAAAATTAAACTGTTGTGGAATATTGTGGAGGTCCAGATAAAGGGTTAAAAATCAGATTATCAGAGACTAGATCTAAGGGCAGTTATGAGCATTTGAACCACTGATGCATGCAGGCAGAAGCCTGGCCACTGTGCTGGAGGAAGTATCACGTTGCAGGTCCATTGTTCCTCCAAGCAGCTGTTCTCCACCAGGCAGGCTGCCAGCTACACAGGGGTTTGGCCTGACCTGATGCGGCACTCACCATCTCTCTTCGCACCAAGAAAATCCACTACTATAAAATCCAGATAAATTCAAAGAATTTCTAAGCCAGTAGAAGCACCCTGTGCTAGGAAATCACAACTTCAGACCCCAAGTTCCTTCACTGTTTAGAGATCCTGAAAACTTCTCATTGTGTTGTCTTTAGTCTAACGTTAGTGCATGAGACGCCATAGCACTTAATAGTTGAAACTAGTCCCTACTTGGATAAAGCCACCTATTTTTTATTAACTATTTAAACATACCAAAGACCACTTCAGAGAACATATTAGGGAATTTTGGGGTTTTTTTAAAGCATGATACCAAGATATTTTTATTTTTTGGCAACTCCATGCTACGCTGGGGGAGGAGTAGCACAAGAATGTCAAACACCAAAAAGACTTCAAACTACAGTGTATAGCTTGATCTAAGACAGAATTAAATCTTATTGTCACAACAAAACTTGCTTATACACTGAAAAACATGTGCAACCTCCTGGCTGTTCTTCACTTGTCACACCTCGGGATCAACTGACGTAATTTATGAAGCAGAACATTTGAAAAAGCTCAGCAGTTTTCTGGGATGGAAGAACTCATCAGTAAAGAACATTTCTAACCTCCTACTGCAGTTAGCAGTCTAAATGCCACCTTTATTCGCTCTGTGGCAGCCTCTGTGGTAGAGCTTACTAGCTGCAGAAGAGCCCAGGTCCAAAGCAGCTCTTTGCCACGCGCAGGCATCTTGCCATACAGGGTGACCAGATGCCTGCTGCCATGAAGGACCACCAACACTCCTCACTGGAGCCAGCTGCTTCTCTGGACCGTTGTGAACAAGTACTAAGTAGGCACAGATACTGTGTTCCGCTGTTGGTAACTCATACAGCTATTCTCACATACGTAACTGAAAAGAGAAAGTAATTTTGAGTCCTTAGGGGCTGAAAACAGCTATCATATTTTGTTATCGTTTCCTACATATTTTTCCATTTGTTTTTACAGCTGTCTTCATGTTCTAGAAAGTCTGAAGTTTCATAAACTTGTATTTTCAGCTTAAAGTCCAGAAAAAAAACCCTTCCAGAACTTCGCAGTATGTGAGAGCTAAGCAGTGGTGTACGGCAGCCTGTCTGATCATTTCAATCTATTTCTGCATGCATGAATTACTCATTTTACTGAATATTAACATAGCATTTTCTATGACAATTGACTATATGGCATATTCTTTTACAAGCGGGCATAAATTCTAAAGCAGAGGGGGAGTACAGCAAAGTAAAGTGTGAAATGTTTGTGGAAGAAAATAAAATCAAAGTATATAGAAAGAAACAGTTTATGGTGTTAAAAGCTGCCCAGTTTCTTTCCTTCTTTTAAACACAGGCAGAAAAGCAAATATTAAAGAGGCAACAGCGTAAGGAGCAATCCACAAACAAGTACAGTAACTAAGAATAGATTACAGGGATAGATTAATGATCCGAATTTACTCATATACAAATGCTAAGCTTAAAAAGCAATGACAATGAGAACTTTCCTTTCATAATTAGACTTTTGATTTTCTAGCACTTCTGTTTAGCAAGTTAGTAGGGACTGAGCCAGTGACCAAGTACATTTTCTAGAACTCAGCTAGCAAAAACCAGTTCACGAATGCAAAAAAGCCCAACCAAAGCCACCTTCCATCCCCTTCTCCCTCTACAGCTTTACCCAACCACAGCTATTAAAGATCTTTATTCAGATGAAACAGCACTTGCTTCAGGTTAAAGCAAATAAGTCATTTAGTTCTGGTAAATATTGATTTGAGAGAATTTCTGGCTGAGAAACCTTGAGCAACTCTAGCAGGTGTTTCAATGCCAACCTCTCAGGACTCCAGAGCATCAGCAGAAACGGCTGCAGACACAAAACTCCCCTCTTCACACAGCTGGGGCTCCAACAGACCCCTGCAACGTAAAGTAAGAACTCTCCCTTCCAAGCGCCTTTAGATCTGACTTATGTTCTCCACAAGCAATACTAAACATCTGATTACTGACCTGGTTTTGAGCAATTATTTGATAAGTTTAGCTTTTCAGGAAGATTTGAGGACATCAAAATTTTTGCGGTAAAGCTTAGAACAAAAATCCTTAAAATCACTTTTCAATATAGGTCTTTCATAAACTGACTTAGAAGTGAATTAGAAATCATAGAAAAAGTATTTCTGGAAACAATAAGGAGTCATCAAGATACATAAAAGAGGGGTCTTACTGAACTTCACCTTATCGTAGTCCTGATCTTCACCGAGCTATATGCAGATATAGGACACATCCACATCTCCTTGTATGACACATCAAAACCAGTCCTCTGTAGTACTAGCTTTTAATATTTTGCACAGCAGTAATTTTGTTTAAATTTGGAGAGAAATGTTTAAGACCGCAACATAAGTTTCAAAGCACATACATTTGCCAGGATTTCAGGCATGGAGAGAAGGTAGGCTATGAAGAAATACAAAACGTCTAACAACGTAATACGTAAGCAAGCTGTCATTCTAAAAAAACCCCCAACATTTCTTGAAAACAATTCAATTTTTACTTTAAAGTTTTCAGTACCTGCCTAGTTTTTAAACAGATGTTTTCATTAATGTTTATTATGTTTTGGAACTGATGTATTTCCAAACTATACTTTGTGCCTTTGATTACACATACAGTAGTATCTTTATAGGAAGATTCTACCAAAACAAGTGGAAACCCCCATCAGGCCTTGACACTGAAGAATGAACTTTGTTGCATAAACTACTCAGCTTATCACGAAAACATTGTTTCAAAATAGGTCTTAAAGGGAACAGTGACCAAGATGGGCTCAATATTATTATGTATTCTTCAATTTAGCAGCAAGTCTAAGTAGTCATAAAACTTTCTATAGACATGGGCTACACCAGGTTTTCTCCATGCACACTATTATATGGATTATTTAGAAGGTATAACATCTGAGCAACTGAAAGTATTCTCCAGTCTGCATCTCACCTCCAGAGCTTGAATGCAAACAGCAGGTCTAGCCAAAAAAGGAGCAGGTTTTAAATTTTACATTCAGTTTAAATAAAGAAACCTGCATTAGACCAAACAGGCAGTTGAAAGGCAAATCCACTAATATTTCTGGAGTACATTAGCAATCTAATTTTAGCAATGACTAACACAGAGAAACAGGTAAGATCTGATTAGCTAACTAGTAAACTTGCATCTTAACCAGAACTCAGAACAGTGTCTAGTCATACATAGAACACTAGTTACCAGCCTTGTCAGGAAGCAAGTCATTCTGTATGGCTTGCCACCTAGTTACCTACCCCACAGCTTCATCTAAAAAGCCGTATTTTTAAAGAATAAAATCCTTATAGCTTAAAGTAAGTTGTCTTACAAAGGTGTAAGACAAGGACAGATGTCATCATGCAGACTTTTAGCTAAACAAAGTGGACATAAACTAGTTAACCCCGTGAATATTGCACAGTAGACAGTTCAGTTCTGGTATCTTACTAGTAATTTTCCCATGCATTTCTATGGAAAGCCTACTAATACCAAGCTACCACAGACTGGGCATTTTAGCCAGCATCCCATACTATTCAGCTTTTCTTTTGCAGAGACACTGGTGCAGAACTATTTCTTTTCCTTACATTTTTATTGCTACTTCTGCAAACTGCCTCCTCCCCACTACTCTCAACGGATGTACTCACACACATGTCCTGAGTCTGGTGTCTACTACAGGTAGTAGGGTTATATTCTCACAAGCATCAAGTGATCCCTGACTATAACATAAGACTCCATTTTACATCTACAGAAAGTTAACGAGCATCTTCAGTTTTAAACTGTAGCAGTTGTCTCTGTGGACACAGAAGCTTTGAGAAATGAGTTGTGTACATGCATTTGTATTACACACAAAGTACAGGCATGAATTGAAGTTTACTAGTTTTTAAATCAGCACCTTTACTCTCACATGAGGAGGGAAGTAGAATTCTGAATAACTAGAGTAAAACACCTCTCTACTGAGCCGGAGCATCCTCAGTTGCCTTATGGGAACACTATTTCTATTTCTGACTGCTTATTAGCAGTTTCTTTAGTCAATTCATTTATGTGGGGGTTTGCATGCTTTTATTTAGCTATATGGAATCACTCAAACAGCAAGGGGACACTTAACTAAACAGATTTGCACCAAGATGATTTAATCATTGTATGCTGTTCTCAGAAACCAGTGGCTTAACTTTTTTGCTACCCTGTCTAACCCTCTTCCCCATGGCTTCCTTGCATTTTAAAACCAAGCCATTTTTCTTTGGCCTCTACCAAAGATGGCCTATTCAAGCATCTTTTCATAGATCTTTGTAGTCTATAACAAGTAGAGGAGATTTCAAAAACTGGACTTTGGGAGCAAAGAGTAAATAAGGTGCTACAGAGCATAGCCCTGGCAAGAAGCCTGCTGTACTGCTGAAGGTGGCATGTATCAACACAAGAACTACAAATTAGTTCAGTTTATCTAGAAATAGCCTTTCTGCAAGAGTTCCCTTCACACACTGAGGAAAGCAAAATCTCACCCGTGTCATTTTAAAAAAGTCTAATGATGGTCTGTTCCATCGTACATCCTCCTCCCGTCTGCGCTTTAGCCGGCTTTTCTTTTCATTCAGAACGCAAGGCTGCGAGCGGCACCGCAACAGGCCCTGACGCCGGCTGAGCTCGGGTGTGGAGGTGGGAGTGCTGTTGGCTGAAGGCAAGAGATTTCCCGTCTCAGTGATGTGCTCCTGGGAGAGGGAGAGGCGGCGCCTTGGGTTAAAGTCACAAGGGCCTCCAGAATTCCAGCGGGTACTCGAGCTTGTGCTGCCCTCGCTGCTGTCCACAAACCCGCTGCTGGCAGAGGAAGGTCTGGGTACTGGCGATGTGTTGAAGCTGGTGACCGTGAAGACATTATTTAGCGACAGTATGTTTTGTGGCAGACTGATACTTGTGCTTCTCTGTAAGGTTGCACTTCCATGACTGTTGCAGCGTTGCAAAGTAGCGCTGCCACCACTATTACACCGTCTCTTTGACACAGGAGTCCAAACCTTTGAATTGCCAGGCTTCCACGGTGACCGACAGCGAGACAGCTCATCTGGTTCAGAGAGGGACCTACAGTGGCGTTTCGTTGGCGGTGCCAAGGGCTGACCCGAGTTTTCGTTAAGGTTCCTCCCACTGCAGACTACCATTGCTGGCCGTGCTGGTGCTGAACGGGCACACTGAGAAAGAGTAAGCTGAATTCCTTGTTGTGTCAGTCTGGATTGGGCAACCCCCATTTAAAGCTTTCCAAGGACTCTCTTCTGAAAACAAAAGAAAGATACAGGTGAGAGATGCAAAGGAGAAAGACAATTTGTTTTAAACCTAGTGTAATGTAAAATCATGCTTAGAAGGATGAGCCACAAATACCCAGCTCTTAATCAGAATTCTACATTATAGTTACACATTCATTTAAAAAAAAAGGTAGAAAATTCCAAAAACATGAAGGCCAAAGTATTTCAGGAGCCAATTCAGGCACTCCAGTATATACCTTGTTAATGCTTCGTCCTATATACTGCAAGATTACAGCACTCAGCGAACGAGAGGGACAGCTTCCCTACCTGCTTCCTACTGCATAGCATATACCACAATTAAAACCTGTAGCAGTGAACACCCTAAGGTACAACCAAAATGTATTAACAAGTAGTGTGAGTACCCACCGTGGAATATTTTGGGATTTTTTTTTTATTCTTTTTTTAATAGAAGAGCAGGATAATCTCTTCATAGACTGCTGTCCTCCATTTGGCTGTTTTGCTTTTCTATTAAGAATACCTTACTATAGAAAAGCTTGAGTGATGGGCGTTCATACTCTGTGGTGTGAAAAGCTTTACTTTAAAATAGAAAGAGTATAAAGTTAAATCAGACTACAGATTGTTTCCTTCCCCCCCCATATTCAAAGGGGAGGGGGGGGGGGAATTTTACTTCTAAAGTGCGTATCCCTTAAGAAAGGGATTCTTAAGGGATAACCTCCTGCAAGTTTTACTGTGAATACAGGCATAACCCATAGTGCTCAACTTCTCATCTGAAGTGGCAATGCTGGGTTAAAAGCAGTCTGCCAGCGAAGCCTCTCACTCTTTTGTGAAGAGTTTCTTTGAGAACATTCTGCACATTTTACAGCTGTTCTTCCACATTACACTTCATTGTATAAGAAGAACTACAGCAGACTTTGGATTTGCAAATTGAAAAGCAGCAAAACTGTTGGCCAGTTAACAGTGCTTCATGCTTGGTTAGAAAATTTGCTAATTTAAAGCAATTAGCCAAGTAAGTTTCACTCACCCTGGCTTTAAAGAAAGAATATTTAAAATAAGAAGTTTCTCCCCCATGCCTATTTTAAGAATCTAGATATAGCCTAAACATTAAATACTTGTATATTCTTATAGTCAGCTACCTAAACTAAGTTTTAGAGTAATCAACAGATAAAAGATTTTCTGAGCAGCTTTAAAAATTGCAAACCCAAATAGTTGTACATGTTCCATGCCCAAAGCATGTCATGGATTATCCTGTTTATTTGGATCTTATTTAAAGAACACCCTATTGTCTCAAAATCATTTAACTGTGCAGACAGCTGGCCTATTCAAACAACATGTTTTATTAGAATTCCTCTGTCCTTCCTCCTCCATTCTTTCAGATGGGTACAACCACATACTGTGCTTTGCCTTAAGCATGTAAGCTCTTCAAGGCAGGGACCATCCATAATTCAATGCAAGTAAAATAGCCAACACAATGAGATCCAGATAATGTTTGAAACTCCTAGCATCTACTGTAGGATAATTTGCTAGCTTGGACTGGCCCAATTTTTAAAAATCCTTAGGAAGATTTCTCCCAGACTGGGAAGTTAGTTTAAGGTTTACTGTAAAAATAGTCAAGAGTTGCACATGTGTTTTAATTGTTTACATGGTAATGGCATTCAAGATAAAATATCATTTCCTTTCGAAACCTCACACAAACCAAGATTCGCATTTTACGGGGAAACCCACTGAGGAAATAAAAATCCTCCACGCTTAAAGACATGACAGAACATGCAAATTTTAAGTCCACCCCTTAAAAAAGCAGTACAAAGTTTACATACCAATAAGAGGTATTTTTATTTTTGCTAGATACAACTTACTCTTATTCTAATAGGACCACGGGGAAAAAAGCAAATAACACTTGCATGTAAGCACTGGACTTCAATTTATGGTTTGCATCATGCTCGATATTGCATGTGGCAAAGCACGTAAGAAGGTGTGTAAAGACGTGAGAGCTTTCTGCTAGCTGAGGAACCTGAAGAGATGCTTAGCATGAAAAACAGCATTGCTGTGCTTCTGCACACCATAGTAGATATTGAACAAAAAAAACCCCCATGTTACAAGGGCTTTTACTATGCAAAGCAGATCACAAGTACAAAACTAACAACCAGCTATTCCCAGTATTGTTCAGAGACCAGCTTAAACCAGCAGGCTCTACAACAGCATGCTCCATCCCCCTCACCTTATTTACAAAAGAAAAGCTGCTTGCTATACCAATTACCTCAGTAAAACACAGCTAAGGTTTCTGAAGAACTTACCGTTGATGTCGAAAGGGAACAAGCTGCCACTTTTATTCAGCTTCTCAGACGAGTACTGAAATCAATCAGAAAAAGAAGTTTTAACTGTGTGAAAGAGTCGGCACACACCTCAAGGAAACTGCAGGCAGTTTTCAGCTTCCCTATATGTGCCTTTAACAACATCTTTAAAAGGACAGGGTTTTGCTGGGTATCTTGAAGAAATTCCAGAACAGCTGACCTTTATAAATAAAACCTCTGGCATCCAGCTATTTGTAGCTTTTTCCAATATATTGCTAAGAACCAAACTCTTTCAAGAGTTGCAACATTAGCCCATGTAAATAAGCTGCAAAATTAAGAGCGATAATTCACCCTTAATGAAAAAGCTTTGATCCAATTCTCCTTTCAACGGAAAGGAAATTACAAGCTGACAACTGGGTTTCCATTTTCAATCTTAAGGCTAAAAAGCCAAACACTTCATCTCAAACTAAGAGACAGGAATAGCTTTATGTAAAATTAAATTCACAAGCTCTTAAGGGTCACCACCATGAACACTGTCCCAGTCAGACTTTACTAGTATTTTACGTTTTCTTAGAATCAGTGTAACAAAATGTTTTCTTATTTCCTAAACATACAAAAGCCATTAAAAAAATCCTTCTTATAAAAAAAAAATTTTTTTCAGACTGAAAGTTTTCAAAATTAGTGTATTGGTGATGGTTCACTACTCAAACAACATAAAAGCCACACTTAAAATTTGTGTGTAAAGGGCTTCAGAATTTATAACTAAGCTTTGTCAGTAGCATCTGCATAGTGGTATAAGTTTGTATGCAGAATGCTTTCCATTTTAACTAATTTTATCTAGAAAAACATTACTACAAAGGCATTCTTAAAGGGTCTAGATTTATTCAACAAATAGAGCTTGCTATCCAGGCTCCTATAAAGGAGTTATAAATAAATGGTTTAAGGCTCCATCAGAGCCCAAGGGTCATTATTTATTCCCCCATCACCACCTGAGGATGGAGAGGAAGACTGCTTCAAAAAGAGAGCAACACACTTTATGTGAACATTGTATTTTGTGTATAGCCAAAGATGATAGCATTGTACACACACTTCCTTTCTAGATACAAAGTCAATTTTTAAACAAACATCCTTGGGCTACAAAGCTTTTCTTCCTTGCTGTATGGCAGCACATGGAGTGCTAGTGACAACTTTATATCCTTGAGCCCCCCACACAAGTTACAAACTCTAAGCTATGGTAACATTCCCTTGGTGTTATTGTTTGAGGTAGGCAGTAATGGCACAGATGAAAGGACACGACAGCAATCAGATTTTTTATCTTATTATCTACAGCTGCATATAAGACAATCCATTTGATTTTTAATTTACATTTGCATCCATAGATGCATTTATAACTTCATTTTAAAGAAGGCTACTTTAAGTAAACAGCAAAACCTCGAGTTTGAATCTCCATTGGATTCGCAGTTAATTAGCCCTATTCAAACCATCTGAAGTGTGCAACTTGACAGCAGAAGCAGCACTCAGTTTGTTTTTCATAACTGCAGTTGCCAGTTATACAGTATACACATTTTAAAAGCTAGTATCAGATGTTTACTCTAAACAGCTAGTAAGGTATCATATAGAACACAAAAGCACATTAAGATAACAGTAACAGTTACATTTCAGCTGTCCCTGAAAGAGAAAAACAAATTAAAGAGACTTAAAGATCAGTTTTTTCAGCAAATTCCTCCCTCTCCAGTTTTCCCCAAATGGAAGACAATCACAGAATGGTGGGGGTTGGAAGGGACCTCTGTGGGTCATCCAGTCCAATCCCCCTGCCAAAGCAGGTTCACCTACAGTAGGCTGCACAGGACCTTGTCCAGGCGGGTCTTGAATATCTCCAGAGAAGGAGACCCAACGACCTCCCTGGGCAGCCTGTTCCAGGGCTCTGTCACCCTCAGAGGGAAGAAGTTCTTCCTCATGTTCAGCTGGATCTTCCTCTGCTTCAGTTTGTGCCCTTTGCCCCTTGTCCTGTCGCTGGGCACCACTGAAAAAGAGCTTGGCCCCATCCTCCTGACACCCACCCTTCAGATATTTATAAGCATTTATAAGGTCCCCTCGCAGCCTTCTCTCCTCCAGGCTGAACAAGCCCAGCTCACTCAGCCTCTCCTCGTAGGAGAGATGCTCCAGTCCCCTCATCATCCTTGTAGCCCTCCTCTGGACTCGCTCCAGTAGCTCCTCATCTTTCTTGAACTGGGGAGCCCAGAACTGGACACAGGACTCCAGATGGGGCCGCGCTAGGGCAGAGTAGAGGGGGAGGAGAACCTCCCTCGACCTACTGGCCAGACTCCTCCTAATGCACCCCACGATCCCATTGGCCTTCTTGGCAACCAGGGCACACTGCTGGCTCATGGTCAACCTCTGTCATCCACCAGAACACCCAAGTCCCTCTCCACAGAGCTGCTCTCCAGAAGGTCCACCCCAAGCCTGTACTGGTCCATGGGGTTGTTCCTCCCCAGGTGCAGGACCCTGAACTCGCCCTTGTTGAATTTCATCAGGTTCCTCTTTGCCCAACCTATTCAACTGAGATAGTAGCCAAGGAAAAAAAAAAAAATACATTTTTGGAACAGAATTCTGTGTGAAAAAAGCAAATGTATCTCAAACCACATGGAAAATGGCAGTAAGAATGACTTAATCATAACATAGTAATTAGAGATGTTTAAAAGAATATGATCTTCGATGCTTAGAAGGAACAGAACCTCATGGACAATCCCATGTAGCAATAATTAGATTGGTATTTAGTTGTTACAAATAGTTCTCAGCCAAATGCATCTTTAACAAGGTTCTCTTCACAAATGCCTGACATTACTTGCACTTTAACCACCGTAAAAAGCCTTGTCCATCAGGTAGAGGCTAAACTACTACCTCTTTGAAAGCTGCAAAGCACTGAAAGCATTTTCTAGGTGGGCCATGGAAAAAGTGGGATCACACACACATAGACTGTCTGCACTAGAGAATGACTACAATGTTTTCCACCACAAACAGCAACCCTGTCCTTAGAGGTACATCTGCTCAGCTGCTAGTGAAGTCAGCGCTCAGTCCTATGACAAAGCATATTACAACTAGAACTTGTTCTCTTAAGTGATCATTTATACAGAATCCTATTAAGTTACAAAAAAGCACTAATCCTTTGGACATTCAGACCAAAAACCCTCACCAACAACGCCACACATGACATCATCTACAGAACAGGGTCAGTAAGCTGCAGTGTTTCTAGTAAAAGCTTAAGGCAATGAAATAAGGGGTGACTCAGTGGAGAATAAGTAAAGAATCTCCTTTATGATATAACTTTCTATAACTAAAAACACTTGGAAACACTACCTGGTCTTGTATTTTAATGATGTCTGGAAAGTCCAAACTTGAGTAGACGATCAGGTTGTAAATTGTTTATAGGAAGGAGGATCTTTTTATCTCTACAGCACAAGGCAGAAGTCCCACTAGATATTACCGTAACAGGGCACTGAACCAGTTTATCAGCTCTCCTGGGTTGGCCACATTTTATGCTCCCCCATTCATTCCCTTTGTGCTATGATCCACCTGAAGCTTCCTGAATGAAAAGCTTTTTTACGATTATGCTTAAGAAGAGATTGCAACTGCTAAGAACCTTGACAGTGAAGTCTGCTACCCTCCATGTGGAGGAAGTCTTCTTTAGAATAAGGCCAAATTATTCAACAAGGTCATCTTCCTGAAGAGGAAACTCAAAAGGTCATGAACATTCATCTTCCAACTATACTAGCTGTTACACAGATGTTGAAAAACCCATCAAGATATGATGCCTCTTGAGAACTTCCCGGGGGAAAAAAGCAGCATATTTTAAGATAGAAATGCACAAAACAATGGAAACTAAAAGTCTTCCCTAAGGTTGGAATTGTTTGCTTCATGCAAGAAAGTGGATCTATTTTGAAATGCTTGTTCAGACGTAGAACCTCTTTTGTGCATTTGTATAGACTACGCTCAAAAGGAAAGGAATTGCATGGTATAACATTTAGGACAGCACTGCAAGTTTCAATTGGTTTACTGAGTCTTAGCAGCTTTTCTTTTGTTAAAATATTGAAAAAAACTTAGAAAGACACCTAGTCTTCAACTGAGTAAATGGAACAGGCACACAAGTGAGAATGACAATGAATTATAATTTACATCACTAATTTAAAAAGCGTTCTTTGCTAGCAGAAACCCAACTGTTACAAAAAAAATTCTGGCTATTCTTTTACACACACTCCAGTCAACTACATTAAGAACTTCCACAGCCTGTGCTATCTTCCTCATTATTCTCAGAATGACTTCATCTTTGTAATTTTAAAGTGAAATTATTTAATTTCAAGGCATTTTCTCCAATTTCCAAGTATATTTGAGTTCCTCCAATACATCAGCATTCTTCCCAAGCCACAGGAAAGCCAGCGTTTATTATTCAAGTACTAATTTAATCGCCACCATACAGATGTGACTTTCATTGATAGGACAGGCCATGCCAGCCTTCCACCTTCCTACCAAATACCCTCCAAATATGACTAGATAGGAAGCAGTGAGGAGAAGCATTTAACCCTTTCTCAGAATGTGAACAAGTGATTCAGTCAAGTTACATCTTAGACTCAGCCCTTAAGTGTTTCAGCTAGTGCCTTTCCATACAAGGAAATCAGCCCAATTTTAAGTCTTTCAACACCAGTCAGGTTCATAAAAATTAAAAATAATTAAAACCCACATGCACAGAAGGGGTTTATAATAGAGCTTCTTCCTTCCACAAACACTTGTCTGGAGATGGTCACATTTCCTTCTCAACACCACACCTTGAAGTCTTGCATCTCACACACTGTTACTTCACAAACCAATACTAGCTTCTACACGAAAACCAAAAAACTACAAGCTTAGTCAGAACATACAGAAAAACCCTCAAGACTCTTCAATTAAGATTCAGAAAATCTATGTTCAAGGAAATAGAGGTCAACTATTTGATTTAATGACGCTGTCAACCCAGGAAAGCCATTAATATGTTAGCAGAACATCCCACTGTTGTAGAGTCAACCAGCCAGGAGTACTATTCTACCTCGTGAGCTACAATGCCCACTTGGGATAAAAGCTTGGCACAACCTTCCTGTTTCTGAGCAGGAATCCCAGTCATTTTGTTATTTTTCTGAAGGCAGGTGCAGCACAGGGCTGTACAACACAACTCAGCAATACACTGGCCAAATGAATTACACCAGCTTGGAAAATTAGCATGTCATTTAACAGAGCAGTAAAAGAAGCTATAGCCAGTGTTTTACACCAGAGGCAACAGGTGAAGAAAGGTACTTGGTCATCACACAGCTTACACTAATGAAAAAAGTGTACTACGTCCTATACATGTTGTCTTTGTGCCCAGCTTGGCTAGCTGGAAGATAGACAGCTTTGAAAGAGCTATTCATTCTTTCTTTTATAACCCTCACTTATGAGCTGTATTACAGAATAGCTTTTCCTCAGCTATTTTATCTACTTGCGCCAAGACAAGCATTTGTGCAGATGCACTGTGAAAAGTATCATGAAACTGATAAGGGTTAACATTAACCCGGACAAGAAAGGTTGGTTTTAATCCTCAGTCAGCTCACAACATGACTCACCACATGGTCCCACAGAACTTTGTGCCAGTGCAAGTTATGAAAGGTGCAGACAAAACCGTTTCAGAATTGCTCTAAACTGCCATTGCTATTAGAAGAAACTACAGAATTAACCAGAACTTCTCACCAAAAAGCCTACATGTGCTAAAGCCGATTCAAGACCCCCACTTGCAGTCTTCTCCCCTTAATAAGATTTAGCAGTTGTCTTTACTAGTGAAAAAAGTGAATTCTTTATTATCTTAGGTTCACCTTTTAGTCAAGAATCCATCACTTGCTCCCATGAATTCTTTCTATTAGGGAGTAACCTATTGCACACTTTTATTCATGCTTGCTTCTCCATTTCCACACCTCACTTCATGATTTCCACACTTTTTCAAGCTGCCATTGTGTACAAACAAAACCTGTCACTGGCCTCAGAACCCATTTGCTGCAAGAACTAAAGCATTTACAAAATCAGTTACTTGACAGATTAAAGGAGGAGAGAAGCAGAGGAAGGGTGAGGACAAAACCACTGATGAGACATCATCTGCCATTTCCCACTACACTCATTGTTCTTCATGCTTTATTGTAAGTACAGATAAGGACAGGAATGAAACACAACCAACCTCTAACACATTACAGCATGCCAACACACTCCTGCATAGACTCCACACAGTGTAAAAGCAGTAATACATCCTCTGCTCTAACAAGTCTCTGGTTCAAAACCTACAGTGACTATTGGTAAAAGGACAGCTCAGTTTCCAAATTTATGCAGACTTCAGCGCCTCAAACACTAGAACTTACAAGACACCACTACAAGTTTAGAGGCAAGCACTGCTACTGGTTACAGGCCATCACCGGCTCACATCTAGGCCCAGAGTTTAGTCACAAATGATGAGTTTGCACATCCAAAGTGCTTCATCAAGCTAACTGAAATAAAGGCAAGCTGAGTAAGCACTTCTATTCCAAGACAGTTAACATCATTCTAAGACTTTATATCTGCCTTTCAAGAATAGCACTTGTTTCTACTGTCTTCAACCTAAATATGTAAGTTGTTAGAAGAACTCTAAAGGGACCTGTAACAGTTTTAAAAATAAAACCATTTGATTAATGTCTACTATTAGACATCCTTACTGGACAAAGTATTGGACTCAATTGTATTGGACTCAAAGAATTGGAGTCAAGCACTTCACGCATGTGAATTGCAGGTGACTGTGCACAAACTCAGGATGCAGAATATACTTCACCTGGTCTGGACTTGTGAAATAAGGAAGCAGTTCAGCTACTTAAGTACAAGTTACACCTGAGGCAGAATCTTAAAGTAACTGAAAATGCTTCAGGTTCAATGCTTGCATTAGTTCTGTTATTTCTTTTAATAACTAGAGTTGAACAACACTTCAACATTTAGTCAAATAAATTTGTTTGGTGTGCCATTGGTACCCTGAATTTTGACCAAGAGAAGGGTGCTACTGTAATCAAAGTCAGTGAAACAAGGCTAGTGCATTACATGAGGAATATGGTTCTCAGGAAGGCATCCAAAATTGACAGGAGACTATTTTATATTACTCACTCTGGAGTAGAGATTAGATCCCATTTCACAAGTGAGATGTGAAGAGAATAGATTCCTTAGTGTCTGAACAGCATGATTGAGCCAAACCACAGACCCACAGATTAAACCAATAGAAAATAACCCAGTAAATATGAAAAAAAAAGGAAACTTTCCAGCACTCCAGGCACCTGACATACTGATAAAGCAATGACCTAGAATCAACAACAGTCCAGTAGTCAAGAACCTGACTTTCAGTTCAACTGTATTTACTTGATGACCAGATTCTCCATCTGCTCAGTGTTATCTAGGTGGTGGTCACTGATTTTTGTAAGTAAACATTGTTGTCAAATATCAAGCACTTGGCTATATGAAGGGAAGAAAACTATCACATACCAGTACTTCTGTTTTTTGTTAGGGAAAATGGAATCCTGAGAAGTTTTGATAATTCTAGCCAGTCGCTACAACACTATTTTGTGAAGAGAACAGGCTTTTCACCAATTATTTACAATGAAGCTGTAAGGTTGAAGAGATCATTAAATATGAAAGCACCGCTTCAAGAAGGACCATACACTCAAGTTTCACTTCTTCCCCTTACAACTCATCCACCTTGCAAGCCAGTCCTAACTTAACTGGCTGAATTCTGGCTGACCTACAGTCTTGAATTTGTTATGTAGCTTTGAGTCACTTTTAATCTACTTTGCATTTAACATTTACATGTCGTTTTGGTAGATCCTTACCAGATTAATATTGTACGTTTTACACGTCAGATCATCCAAGCTCTGGTTCTGCAGCTTTTCTGTTATTAGTGTTACCATGGTAGTTGTTCCTTTTCCACTGCTCACACGGAAGTGTTGGAGGCTCTTCGATCTCTTGTTTCAATACTCACGAGCCATTTCTGTTTTGGTTTAAAGTCTTGAGATTTATGCTTCCATCTTATTGCCAAAGTTTATTTCCAAATGCTGTCACAGTGTATCATGTCTGATTTTCTGTAAAATTGGGGCAGAAAAAGGAAAGTCAGAAAAATTCTTGTGTACTTCATAATCAGCGTTGTAATAACAAGACACACATTTGGACATTCATTCCTGCAAGTACACCACTCCAACGCTAAAGCCTGGTAATTCAGATTACATGTGTCTACTCGTGAAAGACTACTGAGATTTCATAGCTTACAACTTCAGAAGGGAGATGAGACTCCTACATACTAAAGATCAGGATATTATCTGGCCATTTCCTACTGCTAACTGATTCTACCTAGGATTTTTGTCTAAGGCAGAAGTAAAGACTTAAGCTTTCCATCATTTAAACTACTATTGAAGTCTTAGCCAGGTATACTAGAACAGCATATGAAACACACAGATACTTACCATCCTGTTCTGTGTGTTTAACATAATTTTCCATTTTAAGACATTCTATCATATTATTTCATGGTTAAACCCTTCTTAAAAGAAGAACAGAGCAGCGGGTAGCTCAAATGCTGTATCCGCTTTCCAAACCCTCAGCTGCTTTTAATAAATTCCCTGCATTTTCTTTTTTGCAAGGTTACACAATTGCTACCTGTCAGCAAACACCAGATCTTAAACTTGTATGCAGGACAGATTACCATACATGTAAAACCATCACTGACAAAAGCTTAGATATCTTTATTCTGTGAGCAGTCATCTAAATCAAAAAGCACTAGGTTCACTGGTTGCCTCTTTTTATACTGAACATCATCCTCTACATAATTTCTTCCCCCCTCTGTCTTCCCTCAGCATCAGTAACCCTTAACTGCTGGTTATTTTTAGCACAGCAAATGGACGTCTATTTTCCTCAACTCCACCTCATTCTTACACTTCTCAGGAAGAGCCAGAACAAAACTACAGGACTTCAGCTTCTTCGTTGTCCTCCTTCTATCAGAGTCTTTCAGGCTCACCACAGTTCTCAAATTCACTTCCAGTTTTCAAAACCAAGTCTACACTAGCATTAACAGTAATTTCTTTACAGTACCTTCGACAAGCTCCTCCTCCTATAACTTTGCCTTACTGTGTTAGTAAAGAACATCTTCCCTCAGCTCGTGCTGATGATTCATTAGTGACATGTGTTAACCATTCTTGTTTGATTTAAGTTGGTTGAGCATATTCAGTGACTGCTTATGGAATTAAAAAAAGGGAAGAGATTCACACACAGGCATTTCCAAATTTAAACAAAGCAATACGAGCATTGGGGAAGGAACACTGCTGCTACTAGGACTAGAAGTTTACTGTAATTTGTTAGGGTTTAAAGTCTACAGTAAAAAAAAAGGAGAGCAGAAAATTTTAAATGAACATTCACATAAAATACTGCCTCTGTTCCACACTGCTAATCAGCTGCTTAATCAATCAGCAGTAGCAAGAAAAAACCTGCTTAAGTCCATGACCAAAGTTAAACTCATTTAAGATATTAATAGTGTTAGTGGTAACATCAGATTATATTTTAAACTTGTTGCTTTTGAGTACATTCTCAAATATGACTTTCATATGCTAACCATACACTATTTCACCTTCCCAGAAGTCTGCTACGTAACAGTCTCCGTTAGCCCGAGCGCTCTCCCACAATCGTAATTTCTGCCCATCTTTTGGCCTTATTCTCATATTTACTTTTATTTGATGTAAGATAGGATGCTTACAAGTGCTCCTCAATCACAAATAATGCTACCAAGATATCGGGAGATTCCACTGCTCTGCTTTTACTGGGTATGTCCTATCTTTCAGAAGAGTACCCAGCAACTTCAAGTATTTACCACATCTTGTTCTGAAATTACACCAAGTCAAATCTCAAAAGCACTCAAATTCATATACTCATTGGTAAGAGTTGCATACACCCTTTTCAGTGTAAGCATCTGTCACAGCAAAGGGCGGTTCACAAAGTACTATCCAAGTTCAAGGCCAAGTGTGTGAACAGAGCAGTATTTAGAGCAGCACGATCAAACACTAACTTCTCTTCAGCCTGGTTAAGTTTAAACTAGACCTAGAAATCCAGAACAGGAGTCAAAAGGAAGGCTGACTGGGGGTCAGAAATTGCCCACATGCAGACTGAAAACATACTGAAGCTGAGGAGCTTAGTAACTGGCACAAAGACTTTCAGATTCATTTTAAGGATTAAGATTTTCACAACTAAGAGGCTACTACTAAGAACCAGCTGAAAAGTTCAAAATTTAATTACTTTTCTGTTTGGAAGGGCCATGTAAAAAATTTCCTTAAAGAAAAAAGCAAATCCAATAAAACTACCACAGACAGAGGAGGAACAAGGTTTTGATCTGTAACCAGTTCGCTATAATGTGGTTATATTTTGCGTAGTTCTTCTAATCTTGTGTTTCGCTGAAATTTTAAGTCAGCATAATACAAGCTAGGAGAGAATAAACAGAAGGATATTAGTCTTTAGTTAATGAACCAATACATTCAGCTGCATGAAACGATCAAGGGAAGGCAAATGAAATCACAGAAGCACAGCACTTCCAAAAAATCAAGCTCAACTGTACAGTTATCCAAGTTCTTAAATCCTACCAGCTACTGAAAGTAATACTTGAGTTGCAACCATTCAGGCCCCTTCTGACAGTGTGCAACTGAATCAGTTCCAGGACACAAGCAGAGTGGAAATTCAAAAAAAGATTTCACATTTTAGAAACTCACACTTACCAGCAATACTTTAAATGATACATGCTCCATTGAGAAAGGGTTTTTTTAAGTACATATTTAAGGGCTACATGGGACGGGGGTGAAAGTGATGTTGGCCAGATAAGCCTTCAAATATGTACTCCCAGATTCTACTGCTCCCCCATCAGCAAATGCCATTTCTCAACACCAAGCACAAACTCTAAGAGCAGGAGTTTTAGTTCAGATCAGAAGCGTGCTTTCGCAGTGAATTCCCTCCACATCTTCCTTTAATCTGCTTTATCTCATGTCACAGACCAGTCTCACCCAGCAGTAATCCCCTCGGAAACACAGCCAGAAGGTCCACCATGAGGTGTCCAGCACCCTGCATGACACCAGTGCTGGTCCAGAGCAAGCCACCTGGCTGGGTATACGCTGCAGACATCAGTACTAACTATTTTATACCACAAATCTGCTCTTAATGGGTAGTCCTACGAAACTAAGTGGGAAAAAAACGTTACCATCACCACACTCCTACCAATGAAAGCCATTCTAGGCTGCAGTTTGATACACCTTAGCTGCCATCACAACCGCCAACACATTTTCTTCTCTGGCTATTTGTTGCCCACGGCAGTATGCCAGCAAAAGTGTTGTTGCTACTACACAGATAACTAGATCAAGGAATTTTTACAGTTGGATAAAACCAAAACACTTCCTTTGTTTCAGGCAAAGATTGTTTTCCAGCTGGATAAGTTCCCCAGTCTGGTTCTGTCCCCTTTCAAAGCAAGGTCTGAACATGTTTCGTTCCCATTTTCCTTTTCCAATTTATGCTCCTTTAAGTAGTCAAACACACCAGCTCAAAGGGATCTGAAATCACCCCTGCAGCCTCAGCACCTTAACTCAAACTGACCAAAGTCCCAATTCACTCTAGCTTAGCTATTTATACTCCACCACAAATTGCTTCCCTTATCTTTGCTGATCAATACTGGCTGTTAGAGACAGGAGATCCTCAAGAGTCACTCTAGCTTTGCAATGCTGTTGTCATTTTAAAACTTTATCAATATACATTTTCAAACCTTACAAGCGTTTGGCCCTCAACACCTCCCAGAAGGAAGTATGTTACACTACAGAAAACTCTATGGTATTTTCACTTTTTTTTTTTTGGGGGGGGGGTGTTTCTTTCAAGATCCTCTGCTGTGGCCTGTATTTAATGTACCCACAGAGATGGTAAGCTGCTTATTTTTTGTGCTTTTTCCACCACGCTCTTTCCAGAGATGGTTAAAGGCAGCTAACTTCCAGCATCTCCTTAACACGCCCTCTATGCTTATCAGGCAGAATCCCTATCAAACTGCCTGGCACTTCAAACTAATTGGATTTGCAGTAACAGGAACCATTTGACCATCCTTGCTACAGCAACATGGCTCCTGCTGTTTGCATTTCTTCAGCTGCATAGATCTTGGCACAATCAAGTTCTGCCTACCATTGTGAGTACCTGCCCTGCTTTCTATACAACCTGTTAAGTGTTTCTCAAAGATATACACCTCTCCTGTCACCATGTCTCTACAGGTAGAAGCTGAGGCAGGCATGCACATTCAGACACTAAGATCCCCCAAGCCTTGCAATAATAATAATAGCCTTTGGAGCTCCAAGTTGGATGACGTCCTACAAGACTATGGCCGTCTTTCGCTCAGCACACCACCTTTTATGGAGCCTGATTAGGCAGCAGAGTGAGAAAGCCGAGCCAGCCAAGATGAACATGCATAACAAAAGATGTTGTTAGTCTCTGTCCTGGGAGAGACTTCATCTTACTTAAGCTGGGAGGTAGAGGTGAGAGGTGGCAGGAAGAGAAGCTATTTTTATTGCTGAAAGGTAGACTAATGAAAAGTAATAAAATAAATGGAATATAAAAACCAAACTCCAAACACAAGCCAAAGCTAACATTCCTTACAGTAGGAGAATGAGCTCTGATGGAATCAGTATCACCGTTATCTCTGATTTAAAGTTCTGTTCTATGACACATTCTAAAGCCTGAGAAAAGTAAAGATTTATTATTTTATCTCTATCGTATTACTAAAGAAGAGAGGTTTCATTTCCTTAAAAGTTTAGCCACAAGTAGTAATGACTTCCAAAATCTCTGCCAAAATTAAGGGCAGAGAGAGAAGAAAAGCAGTGCTCGTGTCACGAATTCTGTATCTTCTCAGTGACGTCACTGGGGTCTTTTTTGGGAAGACTACTAAAAATATGGATTACCCAACCCCCCAGTCAATTAAAGGATGTCAGAGGCTCATCCAATTTGACAACCTACTTTCAAAGAGATGAAGAGTCCTGATGAAGAACATAAAGCCAATTCAAAAATCTCTCCTTGGCTCTAAGAGTAAGGCAGCCAGACTC